GCCGGCCTCAGGACCCTAGTGCCCCGCTGCCTCCAGACCCAGCGCGGCTACTTAGCGTGCCTAACATCTGGCCTGTCTGCAAGGCGCCCGTGGGAGAGCAAGCATCCTTCCGGCTTCCGGCTAAAAGCTCACGGGCATATTTACCATCCACGGATGTCAAATGTCTTGGCGAAAGAGTGCCACATCCCTCATCTCTCGGGTTCCCTTTATCCAAAGAGACATTTACGAACTGAACTTTGATTCCTGCGGGGGACATTTTTTTTTTTAAATCTCCTCCATGGGTGAGATTTGTCTTTTTTTTTCCAATGGTAAGAAATTGGTGCGCTCAAACCCTGCCTACATCTCCCGCACAGTCCTCGCGTGAAGGTCCCAGCAGGAGATAAAGGGAGTCCAGGGGAGAATGTGTTACTGGTTGGTTTATCTATTGCTGCCCTCTGTTGGTTCCTGATGAAAACTTTCTGCCCGACTTGGGTGTCTTATGCTGGTAGTTCGCAGGACCTGTTCCTCATCCTGCAAGGTCTTCATGGGCTTCACGGGAAACACAAAGCCAGATCACTCAGATTATCTTTATAAGTATTACTCCTACAAAATTATTATTTGTATTATTATTATTCTTTGTAATAAGCAGAATAACCAATACCATCTTCCTTTTAAAAGGAGGATTAAGAGTGCAAGCTTTGTGGGGGGTCATCACATTGGCTTGGGGCCCCATCGCAGCTCTCATAAGTGGTCACAGGTATAACTCAGAGTCCTTGTCTGTATTCTCCCTGTGTCTTATTGTGGCTGGGGGATTAATCGGGCAGCGAAGGGCTTTGCACACTGTGCGTGACACTCACACAGCAAATACTCAGTATATGCCTTTATGCAAGCAGTCTCTTGCATTTGGCACTACCATTCTAATATAAAGCAGCTATTTGCCCATTAGATTATAAATCCGTGGAAGGCATGCCTAGGGGATCATATCCATCTTGGTTATATTCACCTTGCCATGAGCAAAGTCTGCCTTGTGGTGGGCATTCACTGATGGAGTCCAACTGGTTCTAGAAAGTTGGGTATGTGTAATCCAATAAGAGGTTTTCTCCCTCCCAAATTTACACGTTACTTCAGCCTGTTACTGGTCCCACGGACAAAGGAACCCTCCTGCCCCCGGCATGATAGGGAACACAGGTATTGCTGGAACAGTTCTGCAGTGACTTTTTTTTTTTTTTACCTCTCTGGCAACATGGAGAGGATACAGTCCGTTAATGTGATGATTAGCCAAGTGGAGAGTTGCAGACACTCACTTGAGATCAGAAAAATATCACAACAGAAGGGTGTTATCTCAAGATTCAGGCATTTACTGTTACTACATGCTTGGGGCTTATCTGATTTTTCCTTTTCTGTTTCAGGTCCTTGTTTCTTGGAGCACTGTACGCTGCTGCCCTCTGCTGGTAATTCGGCTGAAGTTGTTTTGGACAAACTCTGGCCTCAAAGAAACTTGAATTGGTTTATTAGGACCAATTACTTAATTAATTAATTAAATCTTTAGACTCATCTGTTTTTTGTTTGTTTTTTGTTTAATTGAAGTATAGTCGGTTTACAATGCTGTGTTACTTTCTGGTGCACGGCATAGTGATTCGGTTTATTGGGATCAGTTTAATTTGAAATTCGGCAACTTTAGGAAATAAAAGGGGGAGAGAAGAAACGATTTAGTTTTGAATGTTTCTAATGATTGCAAGTTTGGAGGAGCCTCAGATCTTCCAGAGCGCTTGAAGGGTGAGGGAACAGCAAGGGCTTGGGAGCTGGCTGAGATTTTTTTTTAAAGCTTCCACAAGACATCAATCGGTGAAAGCTATTCCCAAGGAAATGCATGCTTCCCTGCCACAGGAGAATTCTGTTTAAATACTGAGATAGTGAAAGCTGTTGTCATAATGGCACGGTAGAGCCTGGAATACATGTTAGACATTAACAGGGTCAGCCAGCCTTGCCAGAGTGGCTGGACTACATACCAGAAAACAGATCAAGTGATCTCAGTGACCAGGAGACATCTGAAAATGCACTTTGGAGCTTAAAGAACTACACTTTTTACATCTTTGGGATTTTCAGCTGGTAGGCACTTTCTCATGTGAGAAGGGCTGATGGGACTTCTGAGGGTACAAACCTTTTTATTTTCTGGGTGGCTGGACCTCAGATACACAGGGAATCATTTAGCTCATTTCCAACCACTTTTTAAATGAAGAAAAGGTTTGAAATAATGTTTCATAAAGTGTGGGCTGAGGTCATCTTCATTAGAGTGAGAGAGAGTGTGTGTGTGTGTGTGTATTTGTGTGTGTGTGTGTGTGTATTTGTGTGTGTGTGTGTGTAAGGGGGGTAGGTTATAGAAATGCCACTAAATCAAACCAATTGAATCAGAATCTCAGGTCAAGGTGGGCTTCAGGAATCTATACTGTTCATAGTTGTCTCAGATATTTCCTAATGCATATTAAAGTCTGAGTACCACTACTTTAACATATAGGCACTGTCTGGAAGCTTCAAGCTTGCCCTGCGTCTCAATTGTATTTAGCAACTAGAGTCTAGTGGGAGGCAGACATTAATCACGTTATCTCAGAAATGTGTAACCTTAATGGTGGTAAGTGTGCCAAAGAGAGATAAATGGTACTGTGAGAGCTTGGGGATTTGGTCCAGTAGGGTGGTCAGGGAAGGTTTTTTTGAGGAAGCATTGACTGAGCCAAGACGTGAGGTTAGAGAAAAATTTTATGAGGTGAAGCACACAATTCCTGGAGACTAAGGACCATTTTTAATGTGATGTGGTAGTGAAGGAAGGATCACTGAGTCTAAATCCCAGACTCCTGGTTAACACAGACATGCAGGTAGAGCAGAGAGAGAACAGGTTTTGCAGCTATCAAGACCAAGATTTTGATTCTCAGATGATTTTCTAGCTGTGTGACCCGGGGGCAGTTCAGTTAACGGTGCTGGGAATCCGTTTTATTATCTTAAAATGGAGATGATGGTAACATCTGTAGGACATATTTTATGTTTGTATGCAGAGTATTCATTTGCCTCTGATGATAACTGAAGTCTGATTTTCCCACTGCCAGCCAATACGGTGTATGCCAATAAGGCTAACCGTGCCTCCAGCTGGAGGCAGGATGGGTGGAACGTGTAGTCCAGGCCTGGCCAATCAGCATCGCATCTCCTTAGCTGCAGTGATTGGTGCAGGGACGGGCACGTGACCACATCAGGCCAATGACAACTCAATCGGGGCTTCCGCTAAAACTGGTGGGAAATAAAAAGCTGCCTTTCCTCTGGAGCCGCTAACCTGTTTTCAGCCCTGACCTTTCAGAGCCCACTGCATGGAGAGCGCTTGCTTGAAGGTGAAGCCAGCTTAGAGGAAAGCATAGTCAAGAGATAATATAGATAGAGCAACCAAGTTATAATGACCTTGTTTAAACTCTGGATCTGGCCATGCCAGAAAACTCTTCAGTGAATTACTAATTTAATTAACTAACCAATATAATGCTTCCTCTTCTAAAACCTAAGCTACTTTGGGTTGATGGTTGTGATTTACAGACAGAATATAAACATAAATGCCCTTTAGGGCAGTTGTGAAGTTGAACAGAGAGAAGGAACATTCCTTCAGAGTTACGAATCATTCACTGACTTCAGTGTCTTACAGTTCACTTTCACAGTTAGCTTATTTTAATATTGTTGTCTAGGTGACAACGGCTGTGTTACGAAGTATTTTACATTATTAGACAATATCTTATCTCATTCAGATTTAGATTTCTTTGAAAGCTGAAACAGTCAGAACTTGCGCGCATTGTATTACCTGGAGGGAATCAGAAAGAGGATATGGATTTAGGGACCACGCTGGTTCTGACTGATGCAGAAGCACGTTGTGAATGCATACATCTCCTTAAGCATAGTCTCAACGGAGTGCTTGGAGTCATGGAAGACATTTGGAATCCCACGACCTGGGTTGGGTTTCGCATTGGCTGCCTATGAGCCATCGACCTTGGGCAAGTCATTTAACCAGCCTCAGCCTCACAGTTTCCTCCAGTGTGAATGGGGATAAGACTTGCCCTCGTGACAGTACAGAAAGGTTGTGAGGACCAGTTTGCAAACTCTGAGAGGCCAGAGAAATACAAGCAGTTGTGAGCATCACTGGAGGAACCACAGAACACTGTGGCTCATTTGTATGATGCTAAGAGGGGGAAAATATCTCAGAAAATACTTTGGCTGAAGACCAGTTAAAAACTTATCTTAATGAGAAGTCTCTGGGGTGTAGAAGAAAAACATTTTAAAATTAAAAAGATGATAGAGGTGAGGCTTTCTAACCTGGTGTGGATGAGTTGGCCGTTTCCACTCCACCCCGTACACACCCAAGGTGGGGGGCTCATGGTGGAGCTCCGTGGAACTGCCACCTCCATCATTAGCATTTACTTGGTCGCAGTTCCTAACAATGGTAATCAACATGCTTGGTCCTTACTGTGGCCCCTGGGGTTTGGAATGAGTTTGCTCATCCCTGTCTGGACTCAGGGTGCTGGGGATCCATTTCCCCTTACTCCTTGTGTCTGCAGCCATGTTCATAGGGCATATATAGGAATTTCAAGGAACACAGCTAAGAGGCTTTGTCGTGTCATTTGCACATAACCATCTGTTTAGCTCCTCTGATGCTCAGTTCCTTGGAGAACATAAACTCTGAGAGCATGTGGTCTAGAGGGAAGGGAAGACTTCTGTTTAAAAGGGACAATGAACTCTGGGGCAGTGTTTCTCCAAAGGTGGTCTCTGGACCACCTGCATCAGTATCTCCTGGGCTGCTTGTTCAGCATCCTGAATCCTGAGCTCCACCTCAGAAGCTTCTCTGCATCAGAAGCTTCGGAATGGTCCTTGGGATCTGCATTTTAAACAACACCTCAGTGCAGGCGGTCCAGACCCATACTTGGAGGGCACCGGGTAGGGACACTGCAGTCTTTGACACAGAAACACCTGCAACTGCTTTATTCCCTTCAGAGCCGGCGGGGCAGGCTCCAGCCACGTCCATTAGAACTTTAGCTTCCATCCTCCAACGCGGGAATTGCTGCTTTGGCTTAACGCCCCCTAAGGGTGGCCTTTGTCTCTGGTTCGTAGGAAGCCCATTTACAGTCTATCCGTGGATCCCCAAGGTAGTAGCTCTAAAAGGAAATCTCACTAAGAGAGAATGTAACAGTTCTGCATTACAGACAAAAATGTAGATTCCCTGTGTGTATGTGTGTGTGTGAGAGAGAGAGAGAGAGAGATAGACAGACAGACAGACAGACAGGCAGGCAGACAGGGGAGGCAAAAGAGAGATGACTTTTGAGGAGAATAGTGTAGGATGTGTTCTACCTTTAGGCTTTCCAAACAATTTTCCTTATATTAAATCTAACGGAATTCATAATTGTGTTGGAAATTATGTGTTGTCAGCTCTCTATAAAAAAAAACTCTCCATGAGACCTAACGTCTGAATGAAAGGAACAATGAGTAAGTCACTTGGGTGGCCGTGCTTTCTGGGCGGTGGTGGCACACCGTCTTCCACGCAAATCCCGCTGGGGCTGCAGGGAGACAGGGTTGGGGCGGCAGGCTGGGGGGCAATGTGCCTCCTTCCCCAGCATCCTCAGCTTTTCCCCACATTTGACCAGACGGGTCCTCCTGATTTTACTTCTGCATTTTTAGTTTCAATGGAAGGGTGTGGCGGCTAAAAAGAAACTGAAAATCCTTTGTACGGACGACTGCATTCAACACTGCAGGCAGGGGCTGGACGCCGACTGCCCCTGCTTGGACGGCCACCTTTCTCTTCAGGCAACTTGGGACATTTTTTTGCTTCTTCTGAATTGGGCCGGGACTCGGGGGCCGTGACCTTTTCTCCTGCAACTCTGTTGGCCTTGGGGTTGTTCCCGAGGGGGTAAGTTTTTTCCTTTATCATTCTGATAAAGCGCCTGGAAAAGGGATCACTGGGGACAGCGGAGATGAAAGAATGTGAAGAATCCAGAAATAACTCGGTATTTTCTAGGCAGGCCGCCAAAATTGCTTTTAGACGTTGTCGTGGTGAACAGGACAAAAGGCAACAGAAGACCTGAGTTCTCATTCTGGCTCCCCTGTCACCTTTGTGATGGTGGCACTGTCCTATCCCCACAGCAGTTATTAAGGGAGGAACTGGATTTGGGTTGAAACAGAAGGTTTAATTTGGTGGGGGGCGGGGGGGCGGTGGTCCATGTACCCAGTGCATCTCAAGAGCACATTAAAATTAATGAGAGTCACATGGACATGAAACAGCTCATGAAACCCTCGTACGGAAGGTGCTGAGTTTCAGACGGGCTTTGTACGCCCTTTTATGATTTTCAGAAGTGAGCACGGAGCATGCTTTGTAGCAACAGAGTGGTTCTTCTCTTGGTAGACGGTTCAGCGTGGAAGCCCTAACATGTCTGTGTTCCAGGAACACTGCCTAAAACAGTCACTCTCTTCTTTTTGGTTCAGTACATATCACATAGACCTGGCTTCGCTAATATTTTCAGCACAATTCCTTTTTTTTTTCTCCCTGAAGAGTTTTTTTTCCTCCCCTATAATCTCCCCCAAAGTAAGAGGTCAGCTCCATCCCCCTAAGTCGTTTGTCATTTCAAATATACTCAGAGAAAAGTCTTGGTCTCCTGGCTCCCTGAGTCGGGGGAGAAGCTCCATATCATAAGACAAGGCCACTTGTCCCCCTTCCTCTGGGAAGGTGCCACCAGCCACTCTCGGGGGCATAGATTTTTTTTCCTATCTCAGAACCACTGGAAGCAATGCCTGAGCTCTTCCTCTCTCTCTTCCTTTTCCTTCTTTCTTCCACCAAACATTTCCCGAATGCCCACGTCAGACACCCAGCTGGAGGATGCGCACGCGTGTGGTGGGGGAATGAGGGATGTAACGGGCCCTGAAACAGCACACTGTCTATCGAGGGAGGCCAGGCAGACCCACAGGGGATTTTGAGACAGGCTGCAGTGCCAGGTGAGCAGCACAGAAAGGGGAGAACCACACGTAATCTAGCACTGCCTCTTTGGATGTATCCCGTCTCTCCATCTAAATGCTCTCTCTAGAGGTGATACCAGCTGTTTCTGCCTGCCCAGCATCCATTTCTTTTCCTGGTAATGGCATCCTGATTTTGTACTGGACGCAGTTCAGTGGCACCGTGAATCAAAGTGCCTGGCCCCGTCCTGTGAAAAGTTGGGTGTGTGACACGAGCTGGACCAATCTAATTCCCTCGCAAATCTGGCCCTGGAGATGCACGGAGAGAAAATAGAGAGAAATCTAGAGAGTCCTCTCCATTCTGGGTAGTGAGAAATTTAGAGATTGCATGGGTATCCAATATATAAAAATTCACTGAGTTAATAAACGCTGGAGCTTTGTGCACATAATGTAAGTCACATCAATTAAAAATATTAATTAATTCAATTGAACCTTTAAAAATGGTGGCTCTTAAGAACGATATTAGAGTTGAAAAGTTACCTGCACCAGTACAAAAAATCTCTTCTTCCATCTCTTCCAGACATTCTTACCGATGGCCCATAAATACCTGAAGGAAAGAAAAAAGAGGTGCATTAATTGCCAGAGCGCGTGCACGGTGTAATTCACTTTACCGTGGAGTTGGGCGCTTGTATAAACGAAATACACACAGCTCAGGAACAGAAAGCAGATGCAGGACTGTGTGGCTGAGGATAAGCGACAGCCAGCAGAGTGTACCTCCACTTAGAAGAATTGTGATCCATCATCAGACTTGACTCAGAGTCCTTGACTGATTCTGGAAAGCACTTTGGAAAATGTTACACTGCACCTTAATTTGTCTATGTGCTAAAAGTGTTTTAGGTAGGGGAACTCCTGAAAGCTGTCGCACAAGAGAGAAAAAAAGAGTGCTAAATCTCACAACTTCAACTCTTTCACGTCTCGTCAAGTCTCCTTCGGGAAAACCTTCCCTCATTTATTTCTGCTGTAATTCTGGCAAAAGCAGGTATATTACAGAAGAGGTTTCAAGTCGACACAGGAAGTCCTTCCTACACCCTTCCCTGTCCCCAAATGCTCTTCTGTGGATGGAAATGAATCTTTATAGAGAACTCTTTTTTTTTTTTTTCCAAAAGGAAAGGTTAAGAACTACAGAGGCACACCTCAAAGCTGGCTGGAGATTTTACGATCAGTGTTACTAATTCATTTGTGAATTATCCCACTGGCCTTACAGACTGTTACATGTTGAACCGGCAGTGATTGAGGAAGTGAGGCGGGTGGTACTCAGGCTCCACTGGACCAAGTGAGGAGAGAGCTGGTCATACTCAAATCCATCCAAATCCTCGAGTTCTCAAACTGGCTTTACCTGCTATCAAATACCAACTGGATGACTTCCAAATCCCTACTTCACCTGGAATCAGACAGAATTTCCACTTTGGAACATAATGAAGTATGCACCTAGTTAAAGGTATACTGTTTCACAAATTGCAGAGGCTTGTAGGAGTGGCTGGTGGCCAGAGTGCTCAGACCTTGGAACCAGGAGCCCAAGTCATCCGAGTCCTTCTGCTTCCTCGTGCTTATTCCTCAATCGCCAAGTGCAGGTGATTTTTTTTTTTTACCTCCTCAGAGTTCCTCACTCTGTTTCATTTTTCTACCTCACATCTCCACTTCTTCAGTCCCAGCCCACATTTTACTGCCAGGGACAACTATAGACGGACTTCTAAATAGGTCTCAGGGACAGCAGAATGATTTTCATCCTCCTCCTGGCCGTGAGACGGATCCTACCATCTGCAAATTCTAGCATGCTTTTCTCTGATGAAACTCCTTCAGTGGGTCCACCTGTTGACATGAGGGGAGCCCCCAAGGTTGGCCATTTACCCTGCACTTTCATTACTTAATCCAAATCTGTCCACCTATCCTAGATGGATGCTTTCCTCCCTTCCTTGGGAAGGGAAAGAGAATAAGGAGAGTGTTAACATTCCAGATGCCCCAGGCTTCCTTCTTGCATCAGCTCAGCAGGAAGTAGTGTGGACTGAGGAAAGATACAAAGTATGGATGAAAGCAAATGACATCCATGATGGAAACCACACCATCATCAAATCTTCCGTGGCTGTAGCGCCTATCATGTATCAGACCTGATCCTAAATGCTTTACATTTATCAACTTATTTAATCCCCACAGCAATCCTCGAGGCAAACGCTATCATTACCTCCAATTTTCTACTGAACAAAATGAGGTCCAGAGAGGATTACATTCTAGGCAATTGACCTAACTGGCATTTATATATAACAATACAATGAAGAAGATAAAATGGAATCATAAAAATATTCAATCATTTCAAAAGAAGGCAGAAAAAGAGGAAAAAGGGAATAAAGATCAAATGGGATCAACAGAGAACAAACAAGATCACAGACAGCAATTTAATGTAAACTTAGTTCTATCAACAATCACATTAAACAGAAATAGGGTAAACACCCCAATTAAAAGGCACAGATCTTCAAGTTGTATTTAAAAAGCTAGATCCAACTGTATTCTCCCTGAAAGAAATGCACTTTAAATCTAAAGACACAAATAGGTTAAAAAAAAAGGATGGAAAAGGATTTATGATGCTAACATTAGTTTTTGTAAAAATCTGGAGTGGCTATATTTATTACTGTCATGCAAAATAAATTTAAGGGCCAAGCCAATTACCAGGGATAGAGAAGATCATTTTATAATGATAAAGGGATCAATTCATCAAGAAGACAAGCTAACCTTAAATGTTTATGCATCTAACAACAGAGCTTCAAAATAGATGATGCAAAGACAGACAGAACTTTAAGAAGAAACACACAAATCCACAATTATTGTCAGAGATTTCAATACCTCTCAGTAATTTATAGAAAGCCAGTAAAGATTTAGAAGATTTAAACAACAGTATCAACTAACAGATCTAATTGACAGTTATGAAAAATAAGACACCAGGGGAAATAAAATGGAATCTCCAAAATGCTCTAGGTAGTTCTGTTTGAGTCTGTGCCAGTATGAGTGGTGTCTTGGAGACTTAGGGGGAGGGGAGGAGAGTGTGATGGTTTTGAAGAACAAGAAGTCTGCAGCAGAGGCGCAGTTAAGGAGATAGAAGAGGAAAGGGGATTTTAAGAAGCATGGCTAAGTTTTAGAAGTTATATTCCCTTTAAGGTTTTTAAACTATAAATGAAAAATCAGAATTGCTCTTAATTAGTCCTGCTTGGTGGACTGTGGTTCATTGGACGAATCCAAAGTGGAGCCATGGGAAGCTCCGTATTTTATTCAAGTTTCAGGTCCTCAGTCAAGTTAATTTCTTTCATTTCAAACTGCAGGAAATAACACAATTCTTGACCTGGCTCTGATGCTGACTCTGACTTGGGACAAGTGTGTTCACCAGGCTAAGCCTTAGTTTGCCTAAGTGGAGATTCATTCATTCACACTCATTTAGCAAGAATTAATTTATTGGACTTCTACTACATGGCGGGTCCTGTACGAACTACTTTGAAGAAAGGAGACAAATGCCCCTGCTGACAGGAACTCAAAGTCCAGTGGGGAAATAGGTAACAAAAAAATAAAGAAATATATGGTATGTGAGATGACTATGGGTGCTCTGGTGAAAATAAAACACAGTAACAGAGAGACAGGACAGAGGTGGGCCAGGAAAGGCATTCTGATAAGATGCAGAAACATGCAGAAATTAAGCTGAGTTGTATGGACATCTGGGTGGGGCAGAAGGGACACTCGAGGCAGGAAACAGTGGGGACAAGGGCCCAGAAGTGGGGATGCACTTGAAGTCTTTGGTGAAGAACAAGGAGGCCAGTGAAGCTGGAGCAGTGATCAAGGTCAGATTGGTAGAGGAGTCCTCATCAGATAGGGCCTTGTAGCCAAGGAAACAATACTGACTTTTATTTTGAATGAGAAGGGGAATCAGTGCAGGTCTTCCAGCATTCGGGTGGCAGGATCTGACTTGCGCCTAAAAAAAAAAATTACTCTGGCTTCAGGATGGGAAATAGACCACAGAGGGGCAAGCACAGCAGTGGGGGAACTGCTTACCAGGCAAGTGCCACAAGTGAGGAGGGGAAGTGAGGGAGGCCTGGACTCAAATGGTGATGTGGACGTAGCGATGAGAGGTTGAACTCCAGATTCACCTTGAAAGTGGAGTGAAGAGTACTTGACGATGGATGAGATGAGGGGTGTGAGAGAGAGAGAAATGGTGAAGATGATGCCAAAGATGGTCTTAGCAACTGGGTGAAGGGAGAGGCCACCGATTAAGATGGAAGGATAATAATACCGAACCCTTGGGAGGCTGTTTCAGGGATACAGTGAGACAATGTACGTGAATGTAGCACTTGAACTTGAAAACACTGTATAGACAGAAAACATGAAAAATTAGAAAGCCACTGAGGAGTTGCTCATTCTCAAATATCCCCAGTACTCATGTCTTAAGGCCAAAAAGCAGTGTTGATTTGCTCACCGACATTCTTCTATTCAATAAAGAAAGTTACTCTGATTGGCCCAGTGGCTCATTCTAGGAACCACAGTCCGCCAACAATGAGTAATTCGCAGTAACTCCGATGTTTCCTTTGGGACTTAATAAACAGTAAAGTGGTTACAATTTGCAAGTTCAGCCATGTTTCTTAAAAATTCCTTTCTCCTTCTCATTCTCTAAGCTGTGACACAGTTCTGATTTGTCTAGCCTCCTTCCCCACACACTAGGGCTTCAGAAAGCTATTTTAAGTTTACATGAAAAAAAGAATGTGGTCCACAAACATTTTTGCTTTCCTTGAATCCTCCCTCGGGCAGCTAAGGTTGTCTACCCCTGATGTGGGCCATAGTGGGTCCGACAACGTTGTTAAGACATCCACTGTCCACTCTTTAGAACACTCTACGCCCCCCTGGTGTATCTCCTGGCAGGAGTAACTTTTAAATGGCAGCCCGCTAAAATGAAATAGCTGGGGTGGGGGGAGGCTGTCAGAAGTGAGTTACAGACGTCTTCTGTCATCTGGGGGGTCACGGTGGTGGGAAAGATGTTTATAGTTTTATAAAAGCATCAAAAGAAAAATTATTTTCAGTTTTTTCAATTATGATCAGTTAGTTCAGCTGCCAACAGAGAAATGAAGAGGAGGTGGGAAATGGGAATTTGTCCAGCGAGAAAAATAATACCCGAGTCAAGTGTTTTCTGAGGGGATTAACTGATGGAGTATTTGTAAAACGGTGCTTCAAAGGGGCTGGAAAGTGGGTTGAGCTACTGATGCTTTTAAGGGAGTTTTTTTTTTTTAAAGCAAATTTAAAGACAGAGATATTCATTCACATTTTTGTTTCTCTTTTCTTGTCTGCTCTACCCTCCTCATTTTTCCCCCTTTCCCTCTGTCCGGCTCACTCAGGCTCTGGTTCCTTTAGCAAATATTTACTGGGTATTTTGTGAGCCAGTGTTTTCCTTAAGACATGAAATCTGTCCCATTTAACGTTTTTGGAATATACGTCAGGAATATGATAAGAAGGAAGGAAAGTTGACCTTAGAAACACTGCTTGAACATTTTCTTGAGATGCTAATGTAACTGAGGCAAAGATGTCTGCCCGGCATCACAGACGGGTGGTAAAGGACAGAGTGTGTAGCCGGGGCTTGGCTCACTCCCGCACAGCCCTCACATGGCCACCGGTCAAAGCGCTTTGCCATAATCCCATCTCAAACTCTGGGAATAGTTTGCCCTCAAGACAATGCGATGGAAATCCTCCAAATCCAAGCCAGAGCTCAGGTCCAGGACCAGGTCTCTAGTTTGTGGGAAACCTTTGCTGCCTCTGGAGTTCGCCATGCCTGACCCCTTCCAGTGCCATGACTGGTAAGTATCAGTCTTTCACAAACCTTGAGCCTTCTCTGTTCGCTAGAATGCTGAGGCACCGAGTCCAGGGTGCCATTCTTTACTCTCGGACCACACGCTGCCGTGGTCTGCTCATCTGATGGGACGTGTACTTCCCATCCTGACCACACCCTCCTGGACCTCTCCTGGGCTTCTGTTCAAATCTGTCTGAATCAGTGGCTAGTCCCTGGTGTTGCGTTTCCGAATTCCCCACACCTCGAGCACATAACCGATCCTCAGGGTTCACGTCAGCTTTATCACTTTAAGCCCTCTCAAAAACACATACACTCCCAAAGAGATTAAGGACGCATTTCTCCTAACCAGAGGGGTCGAGCAGAATGATAGCTCGTTGGCAAACGGTACCTGCAGGACCCTTGGGAAGCAACCCATTCCCTTCTATTGGTTAAACATCCCCCTATTCAGAGTTAAGTGATTGCATTTTCTGAGATAGGCCCAAGCAATTGAGTTTAATAGGTGACAGAGCTTTAGCACATACCCAGCTGTCAAGACACATTTCCTGTACAAACGATTGTTTGAGCTGCAAAATAAAACTATATTTTACCTTTCTTTTTTTTTTCATCCTACTTGAAATTACTCAATTGGTCATTCCTCTCAAACCTTAAGAAACAGAAGACAATGATAAATGTTCTATTTTGGGGTCATTAAACGCTATGCCGAACACGAAAACTAATTCAATGTGATCAGGTTGTTTGACGGTCGCCTAGGGCAACCGCTCACACCTCCTGGATGTGGTTGTTAATGAAGGTGTGAGTGCGTGATGTGGAGGGCCTGAAAGATCTGGATGCCTTTAAGAAGGTATGTGAAGCCAATACAGCCCCCCAAACCAGAATCACCCAGCACGCTTCTAGGAAAGTTCTGAATTGTACTAAAAATTCTATTAGAAAAGGAGAAGGCGATGACTCTCTCTTGACAACTTAGCAACAATGCAAATGCAGTAATCCTAAGAACTGAAGAAGCTTATAGTGAATATCAAAGTTGTGTATTTCAATGATCTCTCATATATTTCCTTCTATTTTCTTCCATGTAGGTTTCTGAAGATCAGTTAAAAAAATTTTTTTTTTTAAAGAAAGGAATAGAGATGTGCCCCAAGTTACCACTCGGGGAAGGAACACTCACCCAGAATGCTTCATGTTTTGAGGCTTATCCATTCGGACGGCAAGTTTGATTTTGAGGTCTTGATCAGGGCAGTTTTTCGAGACGGTCATTTTGTGCCACTCGGACTGCTTGGGGCTGTTTGGGGTGGGGTGGAGAATAACCTGCGGGGGGAAGAAAGGACGATCATCTTAGCCAGAAAGTATGAACACTGTGAACGAGTATGTTTTCAGAGATGAGAAACTTCGCTGCTGAGAACTTGAGTGTCTCATCCGGGTCTCTCGGCCAGTGAGAAGGTTCCACTGCCCGTGAAGCACAAGTCTGGCCACTGGACTCAGATCCAAGGCTCTACCTATGGACCCCAGCCAAGCATCCTCAGGACAGAACCGTCATTCTCTGCTTCCCCTCTCCCTCTCTCCCTGGCTAATTCTGTAAGAGTCCGGATTACCATTTCTGTGCTCGTGCTCTTGGACTTTCCTAAAGTCCCGAAGTACTAAAGCGACCCAGAACAGAAAGTGTACTCCCCACATTATGCTCCTGGCATTAGAAGGCAGATATATGAAAGAAAGAAACAGCCTTCTGTATGAGAGAGAACTTCTAGCCTTTTTTATTTTTTATTTTTCCATCCATCCGAGGCTGCAGGGGAAAATGGAGGCATTTTACTTCATGAGAAATGTGAGACTTCACGACGGGAAGGGATGTGCGCTGAGTCTCACATTCCAACCTGACTTCCCCCGGACTCGACACCTTCTCACGCAGCACCCGACTCTGCCCCAGCACTGCAGCTTCAAGAAGGATCAGCTTGTAGAAAGTGCCTTTGGCCGGGGGCTTCAGAGACAGCGCCGTGACTTGGGTCTTCTGCCTCCCTTGTCACAGTCCCAGATGCTGTAGGTGAAGCAAGAAGGGGACCCACTCCTCTAGTAATATCCACTTTTTCATTTTGCGATGAAAAGAGTTCTCCCTCAGGAGCCACATGGATCTGGGGAATGTACACTCCAGGAGGAATGAAATACCGGGAAAATCCCCCAGACGAAGGGAGCACGAACTAAACAGGGGCACCACGAAAGCTGGGCCTGCTAAGATCTGCTTCTGTGATGGTGGCATGTCCCGGTTTGTCACATGTTGCCTGGGGTCTGTTTTCAAAGCCTGCGTTTTCTCTGGGTGCAGGGAGGGCAGGGTCCTTTCCTGGGTTTCTTTCACCTCTGCAGGGGGATGGAGGGTGCTCAGAGTCCAGGGGTGGGCACTGCCGCCTTCCAGATGCTGCATTGGTCTCACTGCCTTCACGCAAGGCTGGCCCGGCGGGTGGAAGCACGTGGCTTCCTGTGTGATTGTGGAAAAAGAGCTTTGAGACCAGTAGGAGACCAGGGCAGAAAAACTCCATCAGCCCACTTTGCTGTGCCTTCCCTGAGCTGATTTTTCACCTCTTCTGATTCCAGGCCTGACCCTCTTTCTTCCCCCATGGAATTCCCTCTCTCCGATGAAAGAAAATTTGTATGTTCTTGCTCAATGCAACATCTGCGACTTCTCAAGGTCTCATGATGTGATTAAAATACAGGAAGGCCTGTAGCCGAATATCTGTAAATATATCACTATTAACCTAAAAATATATCAATATAAATGTATAAATACCAGTAAAATACACATCCAGAGATCTTTTACATTATTATGTATGTTTACTTTGTATTAATATACTATATTATTACATATTTCATAAAACACAAAGTTTTAAAAAGATGAGCTAAAGATGAAAAAAACCTCAATTTTTAAATATCTTGCTAGTTGAAGTGGCTTTGTACTATTATTAGCTATATTTTAAGGTACCAGATATATGGCAGGCAAGGCTCACTGTTAATGATACCAGATGTGGATCCGTGGTTCAAGCAGTCTTGTAAATCATTTCATCATGTCTTAACTGATGTCTCATGCTGGGTCCACGGGCGCTGCTTTTATCTCGTGACATGGATGGCGGAACTCCTGCTGGCAGGACCTGTGTCACCTCCACCATGTTCATGCTGTATGCCAGGCTTGCAAATACTATCATTATCTTCTGATCACAGCTCTTCTATCTTAATCTTTTGGGCCAATTGCTCATTTTGTGAAGGTTAATTTAGTTACGATTCTACCATGAGATGGATATGCTCACCAGGGAACTGTGATGTGAAGCAGGATGCTGGAGGTCAGTGAGTAAGGCAGGGTACCACTGGGCCATGCATGGAGACCGCTGGTGTTATTCCTCAAGGTAACACCTGTCCCTCTCTGTCACCCCATATCACGTTCCACGTCCTGAGACCTCGGCCTTTGGGGGATGGAGAGGAGGGGCCTGCCGAGCTCAGTCAAGCGGGCTGTCTCTCCTGAGCCAGTTTGGCCTGAGAGGTGAAGTGGGCAGGGGAGTGATGTCCTGGGAGGCAAGGAGCTGGTAAGAGAAACCCCACCAGGGCCAAAACAGCAGCGGGTAAGGCCCAGGGCCGCCTTCTGCTCCCGCTCGCTTGGCAAAATCAAAGTGGGAGCGGCGCTCAGGACACCCGGAGCTCGTTAACTGGCCATCCACCATATGGATCCTGGGCGCGGTTCCCACCGGCAATACGGTGTCCATGCGCCCAAGCAAATGGCCGCAGCTCATTACTGGCCGATCCACAAAGCCTTCTTCCTCCACGTGGTCGCTCCCTGGGAGACCTCCTCTCCCCGGGGGATGGAGAGATGAGGTCGCCGCAGTCCTCCTCCACCTTCATGCTCGCTCCGCCACGTGCCCGATGGGCCGGCGATCCCTTTGTAAGCGTCAGCCGCGCTGAATTATTAGGGTCCTGATGGGTGCACACGAGTGGTCCAGACACTGCATCTAGACATTCCAGGCTGCGGATCGAGCACTTTGTCATCCCAGCGGAGGCCCATGTGTGCTGTGCTTTGATGTGGTGACGGCGGATGTGGGAATTCAACCCATCCCAGGCAGCAGGCTGCACCCGGCGAGCCCCAGCGTCTCTCAGTTACTTGGGCATGCAGGCAGGTCCTTCGGGGGGATGGCTCTGCCCTGGGCCCTTCCGTGGCCGGTCCCTTCCAGGACGTAGCCGATACGCCTCCCCTTACCTCTGCCTTCTCCCCCATGAGGGAAGGCATCCCTGCCTCTCAGGCTAGATTATGCCCCCACCTGAAAAGTTGTCCCTTTTCCCGCATAGCCCTCGCCACACTGCGCTGTAATTTCTGGTTTTATGTCTATATCCCTTACATATTGTGAGGGGAAGGCTTTTCGCCTGTCATTATTCCTGCTTGCTCTGTGCTCAGCATGAATGACCAGACACAGTGGTCCCGTAATCACATTCGATGAGTAAACACTTGGTAGTATCGCAGTGTTGTCAAGAGTGTGGGGAACAGCCACCTTCTCATGCCTTTTGTGGAATTATAAATTGGTGTACACTCTTTAGGGGACAATTTGGTAGTATCTGTCAAAATTCAAATTTCATTAAGATTTTTTTTTGAAATTTATACTATACCTATGTACACATATGTGCAAAGAAATAAACTTAAGGTTATTCACTGAAGCATTGTTTATACGGCCAAAGAATGGAAACGATCTAAATAAATTATAATACATCCACACACTGGAATACTATGTAATTATGAAAACAGGAGGGAAGCCAATATGGTCTGAAAGGGACTAATCTCAAAATATCTTGATATTTCAAGCAAGTGTAGGGCAGTATATATCCAGCAATTTCCAACTGTGTGCTCTTTCTCTTTTTTTTTTTAAAGAGGGATATATATATACGAATATGCCATATATGCGATGCTTGCACATGCATAGAATATTTGGGGAAGAATACACAATCAATTGAAAAGAAGGCTTTTCTCCGGGAAGGGACACTAGGGATCTTTAGTTTTCACTATATATCCATTTTAATTATTTTTTACAATATGCGTGAGTTACTTTTTAACTCAAAAGGTTACTAAAAATGAAACACAAAAATAAAAATGGAACAAACTAATACTGTTGCATGAACACAGCGCCAGGATTTTGAATGTGGAGGTGTCTTCTTAAAGTGGGGGAAAATTAGCACATAGAAACTCTTTCCCAAGGAGGCCGAGGACTCACTTTGAAAAAGAGCACTTTTATCCCCGGGCTGCTGCCTGTGGAGGTGCTGCCAGCAGAGGGCGCCCGCCTCCACCAGCACAATGCCCAGGCAGGTCCGCTCCACTGCAAGGTGGAAAGTGTCTCTGGCAGGAGGGGAATGTCAACTAGCATCTGGGGGAACAGATCATGAGACTGGAGGAGTGTGCCATTTGTTAAGAGATGAATGGCCGGGAGGGACTGTGGCAAGTTCGTGGCCTTGACCACAACAGCAGAACCCAGAGTTTTGTTTCTGCATAGGGACAGCATGATATAGTAAAAATAGCCCTAGAGATGAGGCAACATCATTTCTGGCAAGTCACTCACCTCCTCTGGGCCCCGGTGCGCTTGTCTATACAGGAGGAGCAACACCTGGACCCTCCCTCAGGGTTCTGGTGACGGCGCAGGGAGGGGCCGTGCTTAGCATCCTCAGGACAGTGGCCTGGCCGGTGGTTAACATGCAACAGAACCTGGGCCCCGACTATTGGGCCCCTTGGGGGGGAATTTCCTGCCTTCCACAGGGATCAGTTTTCTCATCTATAAAATGAAAGGGTCTCACTAGCCCGGTGGAAACAGCTTCGAGAAGCTTTGGATTAGGAAGTCGAGAAAAAGGCACATGTGCTCCGCCTCCCGACATTTGTACACAATCCCCAGAGGCTCCTGAAACCCATGGAGTGGAGTCAGGTTGAGACTTGCGGGGCTTTTTAACCCTCGTATCCTAGGCCTCTGATGCTCTCATGCTTCTTGACCCGATTCTTCATGGAAAGAGAAAAGTTTTGAAGAAAAAGAAAAGGCAGGCCACTTGCCCCACTCTGTGGGTCTCTCTTTCCCTAGGGACAGAAATGCACACTTGTCATTTCTCAAAGAAAACAGGCAAAGCTCTTCCTCTCTTTTCATCCCCTCCTCCTTTCTTTGCTGGTGTCACTGTTTTTTGCTATTAGCCTTGTTTAACTTTTATTTGACTTCCATTTGTGGTCTATGTCCTAGTAATATAATTTCAGTTCAATTCTATAGATGAAAGCCAGATGAAGGAAGTGAAAAAAAAATAAAAGAAGGAAAAGAAAGCATGGTTAGTCTGTCCTTGCTGGCATCAGTAGGTGTGTGTACCTGTGTGCCTGCCTCAAAATGTGTTCTTTCTTTATTTTGTAGATAACGTATCAGAGGCTCAGAGAGGTTAAATGCCTTGGCTAGTGTCACACAGCTTTCAGAAGGGATTATGCACTCAACCAGTAGAAATGAAATGTATTACAAGTCTATGTGTTGGGTTCTGGTATAGGTAGAGGGTGGTGAACAAAATAGTTTAAGCTTCATGATCCTGGTATCTCCCCTATAGTGGGAGGAGGGGTGAGGGAGGGGCAAGATCGGGGTAGGAGATTAAGAGGTACAAACTACTACAGGTAAAATAAATAAGACACAAGGACCTATTGTCCAGCACGAGGAATACAGCCAATATTTTATAATAACTGTAAATGGAGTATAATCTATGCAAATATCAAGTCACTATGTTGTACACCTGAAACTAACGTAATATTGTAACTCAACTACGCTTTAATTTTTTTTTAAAAGGAAAAAGTAGTTTCGGTTTCTATCCCTGTACACTTTTTACAGTGCAGTGGGGGAGACAGAAGCCAAAATTTCTGTCAGTTCTGTCTCATTGGTGGTGAGTTCTGTGGAGAATGTGAACAGGGGGCTGCGGTAATGGATGCAGGAGGATGGGCAGTCAGCCAAGGGCTCTGGGAGGAGGAGATGGCCTTTGTGCAGAGAAGGAAATAGCCTCTGGAGGAGTTGAGTGGTGGGGAGAGTTCTCCAGGCAGAGAGACAGCCTCCTGAGATGGGAAGGGATCTGGTGTATCTGAGGGGCTAACCTTTGGCCAGCAATGCTGCGGCATACTGGATGAGCGGAGGGTGGTAGCAGACGAGGCTGGGGAGGTGGCCAGAAGCCAGAGTCTTTAGGTGCTGTGGTGCAGAGTTCAGATTTTATTATAAGCAGTTGTGGTGGGGGGAGGTGTGGAACCATTTTAAGCTAGCAAGTGACACATCCAACTTCTGTCCTGAAAATACTGGCTGTTTGGTGCAGTCACTCGCTGAGATGGAAGACGAAACGTCTTGATGATCTCCGTGGTGCTCAAGGGCTGGGTACCGCCCCTGGAGATGTTTCAGATATTTGGGAGACACTTTTGGTTGACAACGTAAGTGGTGCTGGTGTTGAATGGTCGTGGTGGGGGGGGCCCGGGATACTAAACATCCTGCAACGAGTGAGATGCCCCTCCCCAAGGAGGAATGTCCTGCATCCCACCTGACTCAAACATTCCCACCAGATATGAATGGAGGTAGAAAGGCCTGGTGATAATTAACTGAGTCTAGATCCTAAAGCTTTTTTATAATATGCTCTAAGTAGTTTTGGCACTTTCCCAGGGAACACAAGGAAATTTGGTTACCAAGACTGGTTTACTGGTTTAATAAATTACTAAATCTCGTGTTTTCGAGTCCTCACCCTCCACAGGGAATGTGTTCACCTGCACAGTGATTGTCCCTTTGGGAACAAGGAAAGACTCCTTCCTTAGGTCTTCTAGTGCCTGATTCTTAACATTTTGAAATTATCATATTATTAGTTAATTCCCTTTTTAAAAAGTGGGTTTTTTTGGGGGGGGAGTAGATTTGTTTGTTTGTTTGATGGAGGTACTGGGGATTGAACCCAGGACCTCATGCACGCTAAGCATGCGCTCTACCACTGAGCTACACCCTCCCTTTTGTTTCTCCTTTATGTCATCATGTTGGTTTTAAATTCATTTAAAATCATTAGTGTCGGTATCTAAAATTACCTAAGAACTCTGCTTCAAGATAGAAAGGGCATTGCAAATCTTTGCTCTTAAAGGCATCTGGGTCTCATGGTGTTGAGAACTCCTGATCTTCGGCAATGCACACGGATTTAAAGAGGGGAAGCTGAGGTTTGGAGAGGTGAGGGGGTGGCTTGTCCAAGGTCATACAGTCAATGAAGAGCAGAGCCACATAATCAAACCCTGAAGCTGGGCCACTTGGCAATACTGCCTTTTGGGGCCTGGGGACACCTGCTCTCCGGAGCTCCTTGGGATGGGGAGCGCTTACCCGTCCAAGCTCCTTGTCCTCCAAGGCCAGGACTCCTGTGCTCTCTGTGAACAGCTTCACCTTCACAGCAGGCAGTGCGTGGGTCGTGGAGAAGTCACCCTGGGTGCCCCAGCTGCAGACAGAATCAGAGACGTTAGTGTGGAGACCTTGGTCTTGACGATGCTAAACTCAGCCGCCTTCTTCCTGGGCCGGGTGAGTGCAGGGTTAACCCGAGGCATCGTTGGCTGTCACATCCCCCTCCCTCCCCTCCAAAGCTGCCAGAGTGACAAAAAGTGTTAATTAACTTGTTAGGCAAATGCAAGACAGATGCTCAGAAAGTTGCCATGGGTCTTCACAGAGCACTATAAGGAATCACTTGGAATTAGCATGAAAGCAAGTTGGCGAGAACTTTCTCCCATGCATTCGCTATCCCTACAAAGTATTCTCCTCTTTCCTCCCCACATATATTTCCTTGTAGCCTCTGAGTCCCAAGTTCTTGGAAACTGTGGTTCCAGATTTTGAAATGGGGCTTCGTTCGGTCTGAGCCAACATGTGACTTTACAATGAAACCTCACTGGTAGTGGGGAGGTGGGGAGCCCCACTGGCTAGGCATTCAAAGATACGTTGACTAGAGGAATGGGTGGAGCTTAGCCCTGCTAAAGAGGAATGGAAGGTGGAAGACATGGGAGACACCCCTCCCCACTCTCCGGTCTCTGGGAATCAGAGTAGATCTCCCCAGTGGAGAGGCTAGCTTACCTAGCATCTTGGGTAGAGTGCCATCCTGGGCTGACCTGAGCCCCTGATGGCCCTTCAGACGTGACTTTTTCATACATCACGATTCTTACAGAGTCATCTCCACCCACTCAGTACCTGAAATCAGCATGATCTTCCGGAAGTGTCAACTGGATTGCACTGAGTTCCTGCCGTACGCCGTCCCGCGGCACCTGTGCCACTGCACTGGGGGGCAACCCAGACCCCTTAGTACCGTCTCCCACTCACCTACTCGAGGGTCCCGGGCCACCTGATTGTGCCGCCTCAGGGCTGGGCATGCCGTTCCCTCTGTTAGCAATGCTTTGCCCCACCCTACTCTTCACCAGGCTATCCCTTCGGGGCTCAGCTTAAATAGTGCTTTTCTGGAGAGCATGTCCCTTGATCTCCTTAGTCTAAATTTGGTTCCACTGTTAAACTCTCTTGAACATACTATTTAATTTTCTGTTCTAGCAATCACTGGACTTAACATTATCGATCTACCCATGTGACTGCGTAATATCTGACTGTCCTAATACTCTGCAAACTCCGTAAGTACACGGACTTTGTTTATACTGCACACCAAGTACTCACCACAGCGCTAAGCACACAGAAGACACTTAATAAATATTTGTTGAGTAAACAAATGATACAGACATATAATCTTTTACAGAACTAAGAAATAGGAACAGATACAATTTTATATAGAGCTGTCTTTTATTTTCCTTAAATAATGGCCAATTTCCATACTGTAGAATATTCATTAGCTATTATTATTATTATTATTAATTGAAGTATAATCAGTTTACAATGTTGTGTCAGTTTCTGGTGTACAGCATAATGTCATACATGGATATACAGATATTCATTTTCATATTCTTTTTTACCATAAGCTACTACAAGATATTGAATATAGTTCTCTGTGCTGTACAGTATAAACTTGTTTATCTATTTTATACATACCAGTCAGTATCTGTAAATCTCAAACTCCCAGTTTATCCCTTCCCACCCGCCTCCCCCCGCCGGCAACCACAAGTCTGTATTCTACGTCTATGAGTCTGTTTCTGTTTCATATATAAGTTCATTTGCACTGACTATTATTTTTAATGATTATAATATCACACCTACAGGTGCATCTTAATTTATTTAACCATTGTTCTATTTTTGAGATTGGGCTGGACATCTTTCATTTCCTCTCTGCTTATTTCCCTGGGAAATAGATGGGAGATCATTTCTTCATTCATTTATCAACAAACATGACGGTGCTCCTACAATGCTGAAAGAACCATGCCCATCAATGAACACTTTCAAGGTGTGGGACGTCTATTCCCAAAATGCTTTCTGCAAAGATGGCAGCTGTCTTCCCATGATCTGGGAACGAGACTGCAAATCACACAGCTTCCTGTCCTCTCTGGGTGCCCCAATTCACTTTGCCTTCTAGATGATTTTTGTCATCGCCATTCTCATGGGCATTTCTTTGATTAATAGCAGTCTTGAATATTTCACTCTGTGTTCGTTGACTGTATTTCTGTATTTCTTTTGCAAATGATGGAACCCTGACTTCTAGTCTCACTGTTGCACTCAGTCAAATAAATCCCACTAACTTAACTCAAAGACAAGGGGGATCTAGAGAGAGCTGTAAGAAAGCACCAGAACAATGGAGATGGGGGTGCCCAGCTCCATGGGGATCCAGGGGAACGAGAGTCATTGAGAAAGCGCAACAGTCACAAGACAGAAAGGGAGAGGCTATGAGAAAGGACAAGAAGCCACAGGTCTCAAGCAACAGCAAAATGTCAGAGGTACAGACAGAAGCCCCGGATGTTGGCCATCAGCCACCGCAGTAAGCTTCTAAGACAGGGGAATCTTTGTTCCAGCAAAGGCGACATTGACAAAGCATGAGGTTTTGGACCTGGCATTCTTAGCTCATATCCTGAAGAGTCGCTTACAAACTGCAGGACTTGGGGCAAGTTAATAACATCCCTGGACCTCAGTTTCCTCAGCTATAAGATAATACCATCTCACGGAGTAGTTATAAAGCATATGTAGCAGCAGGCTTGGGACAGGACCAGAGCCCCCCCAAGTTTTGGCCACCTCCCCTTCCCCAAATAAGGATGTGCAAGATGCATTCCAGTAACAGTGATGATCACTTCTATTTTGTGTTATTCAAGCCACACATATTTACTAAGCACCTGTTAAGTGTCTGACCCTGTGCTGTGCAAGCAAGGTGAACATTCTCCTTCCCCCTACACAAGGTAAGAGGGGGAACTGCTCATATTGTGCCCATTTCACAGATGAGAAAACTGAGGAGAACCTTATGATCTTGCTGCTTTTATTCTAGTGAATTGTGATCAAGTCAGGCTAGAACCCAAATGCCTTAATTCCCACTTTATAGCTCTCGCTGCTACTACTGTCAGAATTGTCAATAACAGGGATTACTCATGATTTACAGTTTTGGCAAAACACATGATCATTACTATTATTTATGATTAACTGTGCTATGAATCTCTTTGGGCATTTATCATGCTTGGTCATGGAGATAAGGACAGTTCCTGCTGGAAACTAAGAGAGTTCTGGAGTGAGATGCTCAAACACTCAGCCACAAAGACGTGTTGATGCCAGTGCCCTGGGGGTCCCCCACACCGTGTCCCTGGGACCCTGTCCTTGAAACTGGTTTGTAGGGATTTCCTGGCCTGTTCAGTGGGCATGAACCCTGTCTGCCTAAACTCCTGCTGCTCCCCGAGGGTGCTTAGCTCCTAAGATGTTCAACATGATTCAGACCATGGGGCAGGGCGAGGTCTCCAAAACTCCATCGGCTGGATGGAGTTCAGGCCGCTGGAGGCTGCCCTGACCACCCCTGTCCATTCGGGGAGTGAGTTGCTTTCTTTTTCCACCAGGCCTGCAGCTGTGCTCTTGGCTTCCGACCATGACCCTTGGCTCCCCTCAAGCTGTTAGGTCATGACTGAATCCCAATGTATCCACCAGGTTTCAAAATGGCAGCCTGCTGGCCCAGGGGAGCCGGCAAAAAGAGAACGTCCCCTGTTGAACCAGAACCAATGACATCATTTTCAGGGTCCAGTGCAAAATGAAAATGTGGGCTTCTTGTCCAAAAAGCGGGAAAAATCACCAGTAAAGATACTAAAACACTGTGTTTTCCTTTCTCTATTTCCTCTGCCCAAAAGCACACTCATTATTCCATCAGACTTCGCTTAACCCACACGAGGTCAAAGATAAAAATAATGAAGAATTTCACGACAGTCATGGAGAGCAAGAAACCAAATGTAGGTCGGAGAGTGGGGCCGGGGCAGCCACAGGGGTCATGAGCTCATGAATCAGGCTCTGAGTCCAATGCCACCCAGGCTGTTGAGTGTGGCCATGTGATGGGCCGTACAGTGGAGGCTGGCTGCCAACCTTTGCCCCTCACAACTGTCGCAAGACTCTGTGAAGACCACTCCCAGCTTCTTTTGGTCAATGCTTCTGATTCGTAGGAGCCCCAAAGAGATTTCCTTATCAGCACCCTCGCTGACCCTTCCCCTTTCGAAAAAAACAGTTATAAAAACATCCACTCTGTTTCTTTTTCCAGCCATGGAAAAGACTTGACTATTTTTATAACAAAAACAGCTAATAGTCTGAGCTTACTATGTGCTGTTCACAAATTCCTATCTCGAAAATGTTAACTGTTCATACATGTCTTTTCTCTTTTTAAACCCTCTTGGCCATCCTGTGAAATGCTTATAGCTAAACCCCACCGTCACATAGGAGGCAACGGAGGCCCAGAGAGGTTAGCCACGTGTCCAGGATGTCACACAGGGAGCAAATGGCAATCTGAGTCCACAGCCCAGACTCTCAGCCAAGCCGCCATGCTTCCTCCCTCCCACATCCCAACCAACTCGCTCCTCTGCGCCTGGATCCAGTGAACACCAATTAACCTTGGTAACTCAAAGGGAGAGTTCTGTTTCAAAACGGATGGGACTCTGGGCCGCCCTGGATGTATTTCACACATTCAGCATACTTCACAGAGGGCTACGTAACACGCAGACGAATCAGTCCGTGGTGGAGCCGCCCAGGGGTAAATGAATCTATTTCTCACTGTTGTGGTCTTCTCTGTTTCTTTTCTTCTCCTGTTCTGTGCACTGACTGTGGCTATTGAGATAAATACCTCTTCTTGAAAGATTCCCAGGACTGAAATAAAATTCCACTTTGATGTGAAAAGCCCAGAGGCTGATGGTTATTTATAGCAAGCGGCCATCGGGAAGGTTAACTAACTTCTCTTTGAACGCAAGGTTCAAGTCCAGTGGGTGAGGTGTCCCACTGTCGCGATCTTATCCCATCTGCTCCTCTGCTCACACTGTACGGCGAGCTCACAAAAAGCACTAAAAATAGTCACCA